ATGGCCGTGATTTTTCTTCTTTGGGACTGTCCATGGTATAAATGGGTGTGTAGTTGATTGTACAACTGCCGGAAATGAGTTCATGCAGTCAGTCAGTCAGTAACAATTTAGAACTTCGTACGTACGTACATCAGTTCGAGTTGCCATACCACATTAGCACAGAGATGCAGTTGTCGATTCAAATCCCGTAGTGGTAGAGGTAGTAAGAATATAAGCAGTAATCTGAAAGATTAGGGTTTGAAGATGTTATTTAAAAAGTGTGATACAGTGAAATAAATTTGGGAAGAGAAAAAAGAGACAAGGAGGAATCAGAAGATTAGAATTTGGGAGAACACAGGGAGTGGATGCACCTGCGCCATTGCGAACGATTTTGAGCCATGTCATTCAGGGTCTCTAACCATCGGTTGCTATCATCTCGCGGTCCCCAACCAGGTAGTCTACACCTACCAACATGACTCAGTCCACTTGTCAGTGACTTCATGGACTTGTGCCATGTTTTGGTCTGGCCGCCCCTAGCTTTCTTCCAACCTACTCCTATGCCATTGAACATCGCACGTCGAGGCTTTCGGTGGTTTGGCATACGTAACACGTGTCCCAGCCATCTCAACTGATGAAGTTTCACCACTTCATCAATCGATTTGCCATCCTTACCTAGTACCCGTTTCCTAACAACTGCGTTACTTACTCGATGGTCCCAAGATATACGAGCAATGTTTCGAAGACACCTATGATCGAATACTAGTAACCTACGAATATCCCTTACTCTTACCGGCCATGTTTCACAGCCATAAAGTAGAATGGAACGAACTGCTGCACAGTAAACCCGTCCTTTGGTTGATGGAGAGATATCTAGCCTACGCCATAAATGACCCAAGTTGGCAAAAGCTAGTCGAGCCTTCTGTATCCGTGCACCTTTTACTAATGTGATGGAATCAGTTTCCAATCGAGGTTGGAGCGTTGATCGTCGTCATATATGCGTTTCATATATTAGGACGAGTCTGTTCAACTGCTTGATAGACAGTAGAAACCGTGGACATGCATAAAATGACGTATGATCACTCCTTCTAGTAGTGGAAGAAACATTATTTGACTAACCTCGTCACTTTGTGTAAAGACTAATTCTAAGACAAACGAGGATTTTGTTGGATAATATGTGGTTGGATCTTTAATGTGTTGGAATAAATCTAGGGCGATTGCCGTTCCTAACAATTTGCAATAGAACTATGTTTTTGATTACCCTACTTTTAGGCTTCGCCAATTTATAAAGGGTGCATTAAATTTATCTACTATTATGCTTTTACACTTGTTTGGTCAGGATTTAAGTTCATTTAGGAAGAAGTCATCCACTACATATTCTGAACTGCAATGTATCACAACTAATTCAATGTCTTGCCCTTTGCAGTTCAGCCGGCGGCACGCCAGTTCTCATGTCCCTGAGTCGTGTACCACCGCCTCGACATCTCGTATAGTTAGTGTACTTTTCATTTTCACGATAACCCCACCGCACTTACGGTCCTACAAAGTAAGAAATTAAATAATCGAATCTCGCTATCATACACTTCTGACGTTAATCATGTTTCTGGGATGGAAATGATATAAGAGCCTTATGTATCCACGACGTTTTTGAGCTGCGCTATTTTATTTAGTAAGTTGCGAGCATTAGTATAGCATACCTTTAATTATGTGAAATACCTTCCCCCACCACCCAGAGTGGTTCGGGCATCGTTTTGCTCCGAACTTTCACAATGTAGAAACCTTTAAGTACAGGGTCTTTTAATGTTCCGTCGGCACTCGTTTATTTCTGTCTCTGCCGATCGTCCCTGCAAAAAATCAAGCAAACTGAGATCCGAACGGGCACATGTTCCTGATCCAGTCAGTTTGCGTGAATTTTTCAATGTTAGGTTTCTTTTCCTCGACGTCTGTATCAGATTCTCCTTGTTTATCAATAATGCTGCACAAGTAAATGGAAGTTTACACCTCTTCCAGAAGTTCATCATGCAGTTTTGTCTGGTTGAAACTCTCTGTTTTGTTTATCAGGATCTTGATTTTTACCTCAGTCATGCTGCTGCTACATTGACTGTCTTCATCTACGTTTGTTGTTATTTATAGAGTAACAGAGCTAAATCATATACAAATTTCAAGTCATCCAGTCGCGTTCTAATTCGCTGTTTCGTGTTTTTCCCGAGATCTGGTCTTTATAATATAGTCAACAACCAGAAAAAAGAAAACGTAAGAGTAGGCAGCTTTGTCTGATATTAGTCTTCATTTGAAATGCAACTGTAGGCTGCCGTCCACACACAAATTTGCAATTCAGTCCCCGTAAGGCTTTCATCTTGTAGCGGTAAATAAATCCCCAAAATAAATAGCACTAAGTTTTCGATGGTGATAGTCGTTTGAGGAACTCCATATTATCTAGTAAGGTTCTTTAAGGTTTCCTTATGCACATTGTCGAATGATTTCTCATTATGAAGGAGATTGATGTACAGCCATGAGTTCCATTCAATTATTTTGCTTATGGTCATTTGGTTGGTACATGATCGATCCTTACGAAAGCCAGCTTGTTAATCTCTCAGTTAGATATCTAGCGAATCTTTATTCGGTTCAGCAACACTTGCAAACTTTGCCTGGTACTGACAGTAGTATGACCCCTTCGTAGTTCTTAGACTTAAAACGATCTTCCCTCTTTTGTCTTCTAATGAATTATTCCTCTTTCCTGCCTGTTGGTACTTGCTCTTCCTCCTAGGTCTTTCTGGACGAATTGTGAAACATTTCCTCACTAAACTCTGTCTGAATTCAGGCTCCGGCTGGTATGCTCTCTGATCCTTCTGCTTCCCCACTCTTGATTTTTCTGATGGCCTTACCGATTTCTGTTGTTGGTAACAATTTTAGGTATGTATGTGTTGCTTAAATGCTTGGTGCGTTCAGTAAAGGTGGTCTATTAAATAGCTATTCAAGGTGCTCTATCCACCTGTGTCACTGTTCCTAGTCCCCATTGATTAGTTCTTTTTTCTTTACTGGTATCTCTGGTTTACCATATTTTTCTGTTGGCCTCTTGGTTGCGTGATATAGTTTTCCCATATTCCCTCCTCTTGCAGCTTTTTCTGCTATAGTTGCTAGGTTTTGTACGTACTTCTACCCATCAGTCCTAATACCCTTCTCCACTAATTTGTTTGGTTATGTATATTCAGTTTATGTCCTCATCTTCTGCCCTTATTCGGCTGTTGTTAAAGTTAATTCCTCACTTTGAATCGAAAATATGACTCGTTGGCTATGTATTTCTCAACAGGCTAATCTTCTTGGTACCACTATATATCTACTCGGAAATATTAAGAAGCCGGAATATTATTTGTTGGGGAAAGCTGTATTGTTGATAACTAATTACATCTACAATAATAGATAAAGATTAGGATGCAGGTATGGGTTGAGTCAAACTGACACGTATCTATAGTGGATCAGATGTCCAAATTACAGTGGGTAGGTTAACATATAACAGGCAGTTCTTGGTCTTTCTTATGTGACCTGGGAAAATAGATCGTACAAATAATTTGATAAGGGCTTATCAAATAAGCTCATTTTCAAAACACTGGCATTTTTTAACATCTATGTTCAACAATGTAACGCTAACAAGAGATTTTTTTATAAATAAGTAGTAAGCGTTAAATTGAGATGACACGTATGTATCGAAGTGTTTTTTATATAATGCTATTATTTATTATTATTTAAATACATAAACATTGGTACAAGGAGGCACCAAATAGATATGCGCCACGTAAACCATCCGATTTGTGTAAGGGCTGGGATACTTCCCGGTTGCTCAAACCGAAGCAGGTGGTTCTCTTAGGGGGCCACATCACGAGCCTTTGACATAAAGATCTAATCCACAAGGCAGTGGTGCAACGTCAGGAGATTCAGCCCCATGGTAGCCGGTGACCAATAATTGGTTCATACGCCATTTATTCCCTCAGGATCCTGAGCCTATGTGCACCGTTGGTTTGGAATCAGGGTTTTCCAACTTCCCTATATGGATCCACCAATCTGGTTAAGGCACCGGACGTCCGCTTTTCGTCCTCTCAAATTTGCAGACAACAGTAATGCCGCGAGAAGGCAATGAGTAGGACTTCCCTGGCAGTGGTTGCATGCACGTGGCCATGTGAGAGCATTTGGAGAGGGAGAGCTGACTCTCCCCATTCTCGGCCGTACCAGGGCATTTGGGTTACTGATTAATTAATAGCATTTTCCTGCGTTATGTTCCAAAAATTTAAGGGGCTTTATATATATAATGTACATGTGAATATTAATACTCTGAATATCGGAAATACGTACATCCTTAACGTATCAAAAAATGTCTCACGTTTAAATGTAAAGATAATGGAAATCTGTGTAGAGAACTGTGAAGATTAATAAAAATAGTGGTAATAATATGAAAAGTACTTAACAGCTGATCGTTACTTTCGATGAAAGCCGGTTTGACTCAGTCAACCCTAATTGCATGCGTTTTTCCAGCCTTTTCTACCATAACAGTTTTGTCGTTCCCTTAAACGGGTCATTGTACGGGACACTGTACATTGTCTCTTGATAAATACATGGGCAATTTTGCCAAGTTGTTGTCGGAGGCGTTATTCTTGAATCACAAATGTGCTGCTTTAGACGGTTATATCAGCTGGGACACTTACCTAAAGCGAAAATTTCTCCGGGTAGACGTAGAATAGTTCCACGAACCATCCGATAGAAAATCATATGATAGAGCGGTTACATGGGGAACCAAAAACCTCTCTCACAGCTGTATGACAATACTGATCGGGCCAATAGACTTCCTCTAGTCATGTTGGGCTTAAGAATAACAATTAGTCAAGATATCGGATGTTGTCCAGCGGAACTGTTTTTTGGAACTACTTTACATCTAAACAAGAGGCTTGTGTCTTATTTTGATGTAGTGGTTTGTCCAGCTGTTCACGTAAAATGTATTTACAATAATTTCAAAACCGATAATTTACAGCAAAATGCCTAAAAAGAAGACTGGACAAAGGAAGAAAGCTGAAAAAGCTAAGATAAGACAAAAATTACTCCGAACAAAAGGACTAGAAATAGATCTTATCAACCATCCTTCGAACATATTGATGGTATGTCTGTATTTTGTACAAGGTTATCAAATTATAGGAGTGTGGCCAGTGTGGGAAGCATCAGAAAAACCGAGCATTTTGTTATTTTTGCCAGTCTATCCAAAGACTCCCAGTGTGTTGTCATTGTGGTAAACAAAAGTGTTCTGCACGTTCTGGCGATTGTCTAGTTAAACATGGTTCTACACATGTTACTGGACTCAGTATGGTGGTAAGTGTAGTCAGTGGTTTAGATGGTCGTCCTTTGACTAGTGGGTCACAGATTCGAATGAAGCTACACTTTCTGCCTGCATATTTCAATAATACGTCTAACCCTTCTAGACCCTGTCTCAAAACTCTACGCTTATACCTAAACTTAATTACTGAGATGCACCAGGGTAGTTTGTAAATCGGAGAAGTTCCATTTGGAGTCCGTTCTATATTTTGGTCAAATAACTTACGATTATAACTAAAATCCCTTTTACATGTCCAATGCTAGTGTAGGATATTGTCTTTTTTAAGCTACAACTAAATAATCGCTTCGGGGTCTGTATACTATGCCCTATAATTACATACTGCAAAAGCAAACAATTGTTCAGATTTAACTAGATTTAGTAACATTTCTGTACTGAATAAATAATGAAAAAGTCCCAGAAATTATATAACCTGGTAGGAAACTCCTGAAAGTGTGACTGTTCTTAAATTAATTTCTCAATTTATCACAATGGGAATATTGAAGTTACTAATTAGTTCTGTTCAGTCAGCATATTGCTACTAATTTATTCGAAACTAAGGAGTGTGTAAAGTTTCTGGCGTTGTGTTGAATAAAACATTGCAGAAATCAAAAAGTTAGTATGACTCATGATACCTTTTTCACCCGAAGTGATGTACTAAACTAACGTTAAGACTACACAACATTAGTAAAGGAAAAGAGTGACTAGCGTCCTGACACTTCCGTGTGCAAGTGTTCAAGCCATTCTTGCCAAAACTTCTGAAAATGACTGACTTGATATATCTTTCTACGGACTAATTCTTTCTTCCTGTGCTATATCCTTATACACAACCTTTCTTTTATACATTACCACCATTGTAGTGATTACTTCTATGAATTTGATGTTTATCTTGTTGTGCTAATGAGGTATGGCAACTTGGACCGATGTATATATGTGCCTGTGTTGTAGCTGACTGACCAATGATACTATTTTAACTTCAGGGAATGTATCGTTATATTTTAATACCTTTTGCTACATATAATGAAGCAGTGTTTAAAAAATGACTAACACACTGATAATTTCAATATCAGTTTTCGAAATTATTTGTATTATCTAACAGACGAGTTCGCCCAGCTGATTGGTCCAAATAGGATTTAAAATTCCGGATTAACCACTATTACTGGAGTGTTTTTCTAGTTATGTTTTAACATATGAAACAGTCAACTTGTACTTTATTACGAGTCCTGACGAGTGAAATTATCTTTACCTTCACGGCTATAAATGAAAAGACATAGATCAAAGCCATCATCTCTGGTTAGACTCATGTAACAGACTTAGTATCTGGAAGTTCTTGGGGTTTATTCTTATCGACCTTCAGACATACCGCACTGCACTATCCATCAACTAACATTTTATTTCCTTATTCACTTAATATTCAAGGGAGCGGTTTGCGACTTTTGTGAAGCTTGGATATGTCATGGGGAGAAGTGTTTATCTGTACATGCATGTGAATGTCCACTGAGAGACGCTGTTGTGTTGAATGTGAGCGCGGGTTATACAGTTTTGGTGGTCGGGTGTTTTCTTGCGCCTATTGTGACCACAAGCTTTGTGAGGACGACCAGTTTGAGCACCAGGTATGTTGTTGTTTTATGGAATCCATATAATTCGTCCCAGGATAATATTGGCAGTGGTTGCTTATAGTGCATGTTGGGTTTTACTTTATTTATTTAAATACATAGTGGTACACAGGGGGACCAAAATATATATGCGCCGCAGATTAATGTCATCTGTGTTAAGTGTTGGTTTGAAGTTTTACAGGACTAACCATAAAATGCAATCCGTTCATGAAGTCATTTGTTGTTTGTACAAGTGAAAAGGTATTAAGTTGACAAGGTAACTATTTTCAATAGTTGAAAAAATCTCAAGAGTTATGTTCCAAAACCTCTCAGTAATGTGAATACCTTCAATAATTATTTTCCTACACGTTTACAATATCACATGATCCTTGTTTTGTGTTAAATTGTCATTCCCATTTCTTCGTTTTTCTTACTGACTTCCTGTTGCTTGATGAAGCGAAACGTAAACTTAAACCTAAATGTGTTTATCTAAAACAAGACACAAAGTGAATACTAAATGGACATTAGAACATCATTATTAAAACCCTCGAACGAAGAACTGCATACATTAACAAAGTTTGATGCTACTATGATTAAACTGAAGTATTTGAAGAATCATTGGTGAATGGTTCCCACACAGACTTAGTTTTAATTAACTGATAGAATTTGTTTTTATTATATAGGATTTTATGTTTGTACCATAACTTATCATTTCCCATGTAATATTTCAGGCAAGCTGTCAACGTTTAGAAAGTGAGAACTTTAAATGTGCTTCATGTAACAAAATGGGAACACAAACGTGTCTCCGTTGTAAAGTTACATATTGTGACGATCACTGCAAGAGAAAAGGTGTGAAGTATGAACGTGGAAGGCCTATTCCTTGTCCGAAATGCGGACATGATTTAACTGATAGTTATAATTTGAGCGTATCAGGTAAGTTGTTATAAAATATATGGAAAACTAGACTGTTAAGTTCGATAAATACAAATCGAATAAAATCCAAAGTAATCACGAATGTGTCAATAGTAGATTAGACAATGTAAATATCTTAACTAAAAAAAAATTGACGAAAGAAAAATAAAGCAGTTGCTCCGATAGCCAATATGCATAGACTAAACATTTCAAAATGTTACCACATAAGACGTGCTCGAGCTAGGATTTGATTGAGAATCATCCTGCCATTCGTTTATATATAATGAGTAGGTTCTATCTTGACGTATTAAATGTAATCTGTGGTAATAAAATGACAAACCATAAGGTACTGTTGCGCAATAAACCGTATTTTCTCAAACTGGATATGTCTACACTCTTCACAGATATATGTACTAATTCTTATACTAAAAGCAATCTATTGGTTAGTATTGTCAAGTGCCTTTTGTCAGTATACAAATTCGGGACTTCGATAGTAATAATGATATTCTGAGTTATTCTCTGTAAATGATGAATCTTACGATTTCGGTTGCCTGTTACTGATAATTCGCCTACTATCCAGATCTGATGTCATTCAGGCATATCTAAACCAAGAATATCATTGACAGAAATGCTACTATTATGAAGTAACCACGTTCGTAGTAAATGCACAATACTTCCAACGTATATTTAGTAATCATATTGATCGTACTCCTAATCTTTAGGAAAGTTCCTTATTTGTTTTAATGTTGATTTTTTTGCTTTAGTTCGCAGCTATGAGTATGGTCGCCAGACATGTGTAGAAAACTACTCTGATGAAGACAATGAGAGTGAGAACGAAGAGGAACAATGTTCTGGAAAATCAGAAGATGAACATGATGACGATGATTATAATTTGTTAGATAAATTAACCATTAAAAATTAAAAAGTATTTGTATTAAATTAAACAGATAAGCGCTTGTTTACTTGACCAAAGTTGTCTTCGTTATCAGGGTTAATCATTCCGTATCGAAAGGTTCCACGTAATTTCCTGGGAATAACCCAGTTTTGCCATTCATAATTCCTTCCCACCAACCATCATCATTCTTCTTAATAACGTATATTATTTGGTTCTCCACAAATGTTAGCTCATCATCTTTATCACGTACGTACTCGTACATTGTTATGACTGTAGGGAAAAAAGAGCAAATTGACAGGCATAATTTCACAAAGTAAGGATTTCGTTAAGATACTAAAAGCTAAAACGGTCACAAATGGACTGCCGGCTTAATTTACCAATACCTTTACATCAGAAGGATAAATATAAATAAATCTGAAGATACAAGAGAAAATTCCTCTTATACGCATTAGGTTGTGTCGATTATAATGCTTTCTATTTTGGAGTCTTTTCGTGAAATCATTAATCGTCCCATGGGACATCTACAGAAAAATCTGAAATGACCGTACATATTGTTTTTAACGACCACCAGATCGATATTAAAAAGGTCGAAATCGTTCGGAAAGATTTTTCAAATATAAAGAAAAGTGAGTAGCTGAAGCGTTTCATATGATAAGGTAAAACCTGACTATTCATCCAACGTGGTCGTTTTACCTAAACAACAGCATCTAATCCTGTTTATTTATCACACCATTGATACACACAGATGTCCACACCATCACTACCATACACACAGATATACAGTGATGTCTCGCATGAAAACATTTTGATCAAAAATAGCATAATATTGACACAACCAGACTTATTTTGACTGAAATAAGTATTTTGTCTATTCTTTTATGCTATTCAAACTCGTGCTAATTCTATTCGGTTATCCATTTATTTACTCTGAAGCAGTGAATTACACTGAGTGACGAAACATCAGAAATTTAGATTTCTGTTCGTTGAAATTTCACAAATGTATCATTAATTTACTCCACAGATATATGTATACAGTTGAATTCCAAAATAATGGGTTTGGTGGATTCCACAAAGCTGTTTATGGTGTTCCTTTCACTCGATTGCTTGATTAATTCTAATTTACGGTTTTTAACTGGGAAAATATCCAATGTTAAGCGGTAAGTCAACCATTTGCAGCGAAATCGTGTATAATTTTTTTTAACCCTATATAGCAAGATTACAGTTAATTTACTAATTTTTCTAATGGAAGGAAGTTTTGATTTGTCGACAGTTGGTGGATCATAGGTTAGCATTCACTAGACCCTTTATTCACTTATTTATGGGTCTGATCCGAGGGATTTCGCCCATGAAATAATAAGGATTGGTACTATAGTATGTTATTAATTTTTGTATTGTTTGTTTGAATCTTCCCAATCACGTTTAGGACTGCAACTGATCAGTCTCTTGTTGGCATATGTGCATCCTGTGCGGACTGCCCCCATCTCTGTTCATAGACTCATTATTTCTTATTCAGATGAACGGATTTCAGGGGGCAGAGTATTCATTCAACAGATAATAGCTGTTAGTTGTATTTTATTATTATAGGTAAATTAAAACGATAAACAAGACGAGTTTAAATAAATAGTGACTTATTCATACCTTTCTCAATATAGAAATCAGGTGCCCATACGGGATCAGTAGGCTGTCTCGGTATTAATCTACTATTCTGCATAGCCAGTGAATCTCCAAAATTTACTTCTTGTCCTTTGATTTGATTACCTTGAGGTTCTCGTTCATTATCATAACGAAATGCGCCAGGAGGTGGTATTGTCAAGTGTTCATCAGGTTCACCGGCTGTTTTGTCATTTAAAGTTTGGTGTTGCGACTGCGTGCTTGGAGTTGCTTGACTGGAAATATTTAACTGACCCATCTTTGTAAAAAGAAACATTGCACAAAAGATGGGGAAGTGAGTGAAAAATGTTTTGAGAACAAGCTTCGAAAACAATGGAGATATAAAGAACAGAATGTATTGTGAATATTCTTATATTGGACTCATATTCTGACACCAGTCAAAACCAAGTGACAACTGGTTAGGATCAAAAGGTCAAGAATGAATTCACGGAAGAATTAGCCATACACCTAATTAGTCATTGGGGAAATATTTCATTCTGAAGCATGGTATAATATCCAAATAGGTGTACATGCAGTTGATGTCTACTGCCAAATCGGATCAAAAGATTTGAAAGGAAAAGTGGACTTCGGTACCTGATCGGAAAATTATCTTGGGAGGTCCAGTGATTAAAAACAAAAAACGACTCGAATTTAAACTCAAAATCCTGCAAAATGATCATGAGCATCAATGTGAGATGAAAGCAAAAGCTATGGAAAATATAGCAGAGACGGGTAACTATTCCAACTCATAAACGAAGCAGATATGAGAGAGCCGGTTGTTTGGAAAAAAAGGAACCACGACGCACATTCAGTTCATGAGATTAGACCAATACGAAGAAACAGCTCAAATGACCTACATTTATCCATTATCTCCAAACACTTACAATGGTAAATTAATACAAGTCTCCAAATCCTAGCGAAGTCGTATAGGTTATATCTAACCTGGAACGAAGAAAACAAGCATTAACATGTGCTTCTCTCCGTCCAAATACAAAATGTCATCAGGACGAATCTGAATGGTCACTTAGGTAGACCGGCCACCCTTCAGTTACAATGTCTCCAAAAAACCGAAATGTGAAATCGAAACAAGTCACCAACTTGAGATAGTGAAAAAGACTAGTAGCTCAGGTGGAGTTTAATTTTCTGAGCTGGATGGTTTGGTCGCGAAGCTTTCATTGTTCTTCTAAACAACATAATCAGTACAAACTCTAAGTAGGAGTGAAGTGTTCGAATTTTTCGACATGACTCACAGCTTGTCCTGTCGACCTCGACCATACAGCTCAAAGAACAAAACTCCACCTAGGTCCCCAACTCTTAGTAAGGTTAAGGAAGCTATAACTAACTTGAATCAGAGGAAAGCAGCATAACCTAACAGGCTGACTCCATAGATTTTTAGGGATGACGATGATCGAGATTCTGTCGCTTTCTTATACCTTTTCAACGATTGATTTACCAATACCTATCAACTTAAAGTAGACAGACGATATAGTCCTATTCGGTGAAGACGGTGACATAATCCAGTATTTCGATCAGCTTGAGAAAAGATGTGAACATGTTCGGTTGTTATAATCTCTATGTTTTCTTCTTACGGTTAATGACCCAGCTATTCCTATTGCTTAGTATTCTCGGACACCGATTCACTCGACAAGTCCCCAAATCAGAACACGGTTGAACAGGAAAAAGATTATATTACAAATAGCAAGTCAGAAGCCAGTAGGAAGCACAATAGGGGAAAACGTCGGTATATTTATAGTTTTTACATAAGAAGATTCCAGAGTATTCTCCGACTATCGACTAGTGCTGATTGGATAAGAATCAGCCAATCAGCGTGCACCAAAACAATCATGCATTGAGCATGCTTTAATCTAGTCTATGTCCCGCTAACATCGGTGTGTGCTTCTCGCCCTCCAAATGCAAAATGTCATCAGGATGAATTTGGATCGTCGCCTGCTTTGATCATAGTAAGTGAAGTAGTTGAGTACGTTGACCACTCCACTTATATCATAAGTCCCGTAAAGGCTAATGATATTACCCAGTTACCCAAACGGAAGTAGGTGGAGCGGGGTTCAAACACAAATAATATATATATATATATATATATATATATATATATATATATATATATAGCCTTCGTTTAGTTTTCACTTTTATCTTGTTAATATACTCTCCCTGTGCTGTTTGTAAAGTGTACAAACTCTAGTGGATACGTCTTACGTCGTTTATGTCATTGTTTAAAATGTGAAGGTTGAGAATAGTAAGTACAAACCATGTACAATTTCTGAATAGCTAAGTCAAATATCACATCAGGCAACAGCTTACATAAAACGATCATTTATGGAGAGAAGAGTTTAGAATGATCGGAAGTTTTACTACCAACGACCTGTTGATATAAGGATATTTCTTTCGACACTGGAACGTATGTCCGTCTAGCTCTTGTTCAAAATTTATTAATTGATACATTATTCGCTGTACGATTATCTCTCTTACTTGTTAAGTTATTGCCATGTTGCATGTGTGAAATATTTCTTGGTGCTTAGCACAAAGCCTTTCTCTACTTAGTAATAATTTCTGTATTAATACAGCATTGAAATTACCTTATTTATATTTTTGTCCATTTCCAATGTTGATTGTTTTTGGTAAATCACTGAGTCCCGAACATTCTGTTGGTATTGTGGTAGCTGTTCGGTCAGTAATTGCTGAGAGTGGAGAATTTCTGGGGAGTCAGTTGCTAGTACTGAAGTTATTCGCTTATTCTGTTGTTGACTTTGAAGCAGGTGTGTTTGACCGGTTACAACTACTTCATTTCTATCAGAGAGTAATTGACGTTCCTCCTTATTGTTGTGTGCAGATTGCGATGCCCCACCAACAACAGCATGAGAAATTTGTGAAGCCATATACTGAGGTTGGACAGTAGGCTACAGTTAAGAAAACAGGTAAGACAGTACAACAAGATATTTATAGATGTGTTTTATGTCACGAAATATAAAAACCAGTTGATCAGCAACCTCGAATGTCAATTAGCATATTTTTTTGCATCAAAATGAACTTAGCTATTTAAAATCTTCAGTTGAATTGATCATCTTTCGATGAATATTAAAATATTCATGAATTCAAAGACAAAATCAAATGACAAATTGTTTCACGCATTTCATTGCATTGATGATCGCTACACTTGGTCAAGCAAAAGTAATTAAAAAGGCTATTTACCTTATTATATGTTACATGTGAAGTATGCATTAGTTGTTCATTGTTGGAGGACTGGATATAGGGTTGACCAGGCGTACAATGACCATGGTGATACTGTGGAGCATTTGAACCTGTACCAGAAGATCCACTTGATTTACGTGACCGGGCACTACTCATAGCCGTACACAGAATATCAGGGTTAACAGTACGATTATTCATACAAAAAGCTGCACTTGAAGCATAATTTGATGATATGCTACCAACAGACGAATTGATTGCACCGGGTATATGTTGCATCGCTAAAGAACCACATGCATTTAAGAATTGTTGAGGTGGCAGCACACCACCACGGCAAATAACAGTTGCCCTTCCAACTGTACTAACTAGAAAACAAAAAATTGGTGGAAACTGAAGTGATAAATACGGCTGTACACTAAAATGACATTCCCATAGTATCAAAGAAGGCTAGAGAACTTTAACTAGGATACAGGAAACATCAACGATTCTGTAATGTAAACAAGATGAGTGGAATATCATAGCCATTGCAATGTTATTGAAGCTATTGAAGATCTGCCACGGAAGACCGGATTATGAAGCTTTTTCCACAGTTGGAGAATCAGATATGATTAAAATAAATCAGTTCTACTTATAGGATGCTGGAGTCCAGAATGAAAGAAACAATTGTCCACTTTATACAGATTATATGAGTGATTGCCAGCTTATCAAAAGTAAAAGCTTTATGAACTGAAATTCGTAAAGCATACACGATCTAAGTTCATTCCATGCATAAATAGGAACGACAGTAAGTTGTGATCTCATATCGTAAGAACTGGATGTTTGAGAGTAGGTGTAGGAAGGATTTGAATGTGACCAACTTGGTCTCGTGTGCTGTTACGGGTATGAGGGCTGGTGTCACTTCCCGGCTGCCCACACCGTGGAAGGGTATTTCTTGAGGAACCTGAAAAGGAAATTGGATTAGTGTTGGTCTTAACGACCTGGGAGCGTGACCGCAGAGCCCAAGGGACAACTGCTTGAGGCCGGTCGCGCACGGTCTTTCTGTGGAAGGTTTTTGACGTGTTAGCTCCGTTCTTCAAAGGGCCCTACCGCCGGAGACGGAAATCCGTGAGGTAAGGTGAGGTGTGACATTTTCAGGGTCGACCTTTTCTAACCCCGCCCCTCCTTGTGGGAAGGCAGCATCGCTACAGATGTTGGTTGTCTGAGGGAAACACCTTACTGCTGTCACACCTCTCTACAGTCAGCAGTACGGCTTCGCCCTCAGACCTTGAGTTGCTGCTTTTAGTCTTACCGTTCACCAATCGACCTGTTTGGCATGGTAGAACCTACAGGAACATATATTCCAGCCAATATAGCTCGGTTGGGTCATCACGACAGGCAAGCCCGACCACCGCGTCAAGGTAGCAGTTTCGGTCGGGGATGTTTGAGAGTCGTCAACGTTGTTTATTAGTGGTGAAACTACTAAGTACTGTCCACGTGTAATGTGAATTTTGAGAAACACAAGTTTATCTGGAACTATAGAGAAATGCATTATTGTAAGTTGCAGTGCAACACACGAGAAACTTGATATTAACATACAATATGAACAAATGAGCATAAGAATACCGTATATTTAAAGGCTGTTATGAAGTGAATACAAATACGTTAGGGTAATCGACTTTTAAACATTATCTTGGGTTTTTATTCACTTATTTGTAATATTCTCTAGCCTAAGCTACGCATCTCTATCAGATTTAGACCCAACCACTGAATACCCAGGTATGCATCATTTCTTGTTTAAAAGATGAAGTTTCTTTCATGTTACAATTACA